ATTATTTAAATTAGTGAAACAAAGAAGCCTATTTAATTTCAATAATTTCTGTTTATTACTTTTAGAGTTATGGCCCTTGTTGCACTTTGTTTAACCTTGTGAACGCTCTAACCCCGAAAATTATCATCCTATCTTTCTGAAATTTATATGCATTATTTAAATTAGTGAAACAAAGAAGCCTATTGAATTTCAGTAATTTCTGTGTATTACGTCTAGAGTTATGGCCCTTGTTTCACTTTATTGAACCTTGTGAACGCTCTAACACCAAAAGTTATCATCCGATCTTTCTGAAATTTATATGCATTATTTAAATAAGTGAAACAAAGAAGCTTATTGAATTTCAGCAATTTCTGTTTATTACGTCTAGAGTTATGGCCCTTGTTTCACTTTATTGAACTTTGTGAATGCTCAAACATCAAAAGTTATCTGCCGATCTGTATCAAATTTACATGCGGCATTTAAATTAGTAAAGAGAAGAATCCTATTAAATTTCAGCCATTTTCGTTTATTACTTCTAGAGTTATTGCCCTTGTCTAACTTTGTTCAACCTTGTTAATGCTCGATTGATAAAAGTTATCATCCGATATGTATGAAATTTATATGCATCATTTAAATTTGTGAAATCAAAAAGCCTGTCAAATTTCAACAATTTCTGTAGATTACTTCCAGAGTTGAGACCCTTGTTTCAATTTGTTAAACCTTGTGAACCTTCAAACGGCAAAAATTATAATCTGATCTGTATGGAACTGTCTTGTAAAGACCCCCAATTACCTACAAAGGAATAAATATGTGACAACCCTTGTCGACCGCTCGGACGATTTAGCCACTGTGGGCTTATGTTTCGTTGCCTGGCAACCTATCTTTTAGCTTGTGGTCCCTCTGAAGGTCACAGTTATTATGCAATTTTAAAAACCGTTTGAATATATCACCGTTACACCGTAATAAAGGTTGAGTTCCAATTTGGTCATAATTTTTATTCGATTTAAAAAAATGTTTTAGTATATAACCGGTACACCCTATTGACCCTAAGGATGGTTGAGTTTGAATTTCGTGAAAATCGGCCCAAAACTGATAGACAAAATGGCCGTCCCTCGTTCTCAAATATTGTAAAAATATGGTATATCAAGGTTGTGGAGCCTCTAGAGGTCACAGTTTTCTTCTGATTTTGATGAAACTTGAAATGTAAGTTTATAACCCAAAGATCTTGGTTCCTTTCAATATTCGTGCATGTCGTACTGTAACTTCCTGATTTATGGCCCCTGATTGTACGAAAAATCGCGTTTTTAGCTTGAGGTCCCTCTAGATGTCAAAATTATTATCCGATTTAAAAAATCGTTCAAATATATCACTTTTACACCGTAATGTTTATTGAGTTCAAATTTTGTATTAATTTATGCTTATCGGGCCGTAACCTTCTAGATTATGGACCGTGATTGTACGTAAAATCACATTTTTAACTTGTGGATCCTCTACAGGTAGCAATTTTTATCTTATTTTCAAAATCGTTCAACTATATCACCGTTACACCATAATTATGGTTGAGTCCGAATTTCCTGAAAATCGGACCAAAATTTCCCGTAAAATGGCTGCTCCCCTTTACGCAAATAGTGTAAAAGTATGTAATACCAAGGTTGTAACAATTTTTATTTGATTTCGATGAAACTTAAAACGAGTGTTGGGCGAGTTCAAGTTTGGTGGGCATCTGACCTTCTGTTCTAGAGTTATGCCAAATGCCTTTTACGCAAAATGTGAAATATGAATGAAGTTTGTGGACCTTCCAGAGGCAACAATTTTTGTCCGATTCATGAGATAAAAATTAAACTATGTGTTGAGGATCAAAAGTTCTTGGATGAGTTTCACTTTGGTATGCATGAGACCTTCCATTGTAGAGCAATAGAATGTTAGAAAAACTCTATCCTGTCGTGTTTTAATCATCCAATCTGTCATAGATACAACGCAAATGAGATGGTATGAAATATTCCACTGCTCAGTAAAATTAACTAATTCAATTGCAACCCCCGCAGCTGGGGGCTCTTAACCCAGGGAGCAGTATAGAGCATAGTAGGGTTTTTACTTCTGAAGGTCTTGTATTACTTCTAGAAGTCTCACTTCTATGTTAAAATCAGTTCTCTTCCAGTTACGTCACTGTATCTAACTGAATAGTTACTTGCGTGCAATAACCTGGAGAAAAGGACACTTGCGGCCAAATTATTAGGGGGCGGAGGCAAGCCCCCACCCAAGCCCCCATCCACTCCCCCGGGCCTGAATCACATTTAAACACATGTGCCATTCATTCTATTGTTCATTTAGTCCTAATATATACTCTTCAAAATAAAGTAGGGGATATTGAAATACAAATACCTATGCAGGTTGTGATATGATAAATAGTCATGGTCACTTGACATGGTTTGAGAGTATGTTCACAGATGAAGAACTTATCGCCTCTGAGCTGTACATGCGACACGCAATAGCACCATACACGTGGGAGGGGCTCATTGTCAAATTTGACACTTCAAGGAAGGGTTGATGAAAACTGCCACGTGCTGATTTATCTATCCATGTTTGCTTTCCTATCAGTTCTTGCATAAGATTTACTGTTTAATGTATCTTTGCTTTAGTGTGTTACGTTTAATTTGATCGGGAGACGTGTTCATCGTTGTCAACGTCAACCGACAACACTGCAAGAATTGGCCGTGGCACTGCAAGAGGATTCTCTAGAGGCTAAAGTTAATATCGGATTGACTTTGAATTTATACACAGTGTTTAAGGTCATGAGACAAAGAAGCCTATTGATTTTCAACGATTTCTAGAGGTTAAAGTTAATATCCGATTGACTTTGAATTTATACACAGTGTTTAAGGGCTTGAGACGAACAAGTATATTGATTTTCAATGAATCTTTATGACTTGAACAGCTAAATCCATGATGTTAAAAGTTTTTAGACTAAACGTTAGCATAGGGCAGAACTTTATAAAAACCAAACAAATTCTTATGGTTTTCTGATAATTACTTAATGAGTTGTTACTCTTAATCAGATTTTAAATTTTAATGTATTATAAATGTTTCATTACCGAAAAAAGTAAAAATATGTGACAACTCTTGTTGACTGCCCGGACAATATAGCTGCTGTGGGCGTATGTTTCGTTGCCTAGCAACCTATCTTTTCTTTTGATGGTGTATCTCTGCGAGTGAAATGAAGAGTATATCAACAAAACAGACAGAAAGTACAGTGCCAACTATATGAACAAGACAAACTCCATTTGTATGTCATGAACAGTATTTCCCTAATCCATTTCATTGATATAACTCTTTTAGACAGTACAGAAACAAAACAGCTACAAAAAACAGTACTTGTATATAAATGTAGGGCAAATTAGGGTCCCAGGAAAGTTATTCCAGTAGCCAGTATTATTGTTGTCCCCCGCCTTTCGAAGAAAGCAGGGGACTATTAAAATGGGTTCGTCTGTCTGTCGGTCACACTTTTTGGGACACAATAACTCTCCTTTAATTGAGCTAGAATGTTTAAACTTAGTGTAGGTCAATGCCTTGATGGAGTTCAAAGATGAGAATTTTCTGCTTAGGGTAAGCAGAGATAAGCAATTTGATTGGTTGATGCTTTGGGACACGATAACTTTAGTTTTAATTAAGTGAGAGTGATGAAACTTGGTGTATAGTTTTATTACATCAATACCTTGACTAAGTTTGGTAATGAGCATTTTCTGCTCGGGGTAAGCAGAGTGATAAGCAATTTGATTGGTCAAGATTTTGGAACACAATAACTCTCATTCTAATTGAGCTAGAATGTTCACACTTGGCGTAGGTTTTTATTATGTGAATGCCTTGATGGAGTTCAAAGATGAGAATTTTCTTCTTAGGATAAGCAGAGATAAGCAATTTGATTGGTTGTTGCTTTTAATTAAGTGAGAGTGATGAAACTTGGTGTATAGTTTTATTACATCAATACCTTGACTAAGTTTGGTAATGAGCATTTTCTGCTCAGGGTAAGCAGAGTGATAAGCAATTTGATTGGTCAAGATTTTGGAACACAATAACTCTCATTCTAATTGAGCTAGAATGTTCACACTTGGCGTAGGTTTTTATTATGTGAATGCCTTGATGGAGTTCAAAGATGAGAATTTTCTTCTTGGGATAAGCAGAGATAAGCAATTTGATTGGTTGTTGCTTTTGGACACGATAACTTTAGTTCTAATAAAGTGAGAGCGATGAAACTTGGTGTATAGTTTTGTTACATCATGCCTTGACTAAGTTCGATAATGAGCATTTTCTGCTTAGGGTAAGCAGAGTAATAAGCAATTGGATGGGTCAATACTTTGGAACACAATAACTCTCATTCTAATTGAGCTAGAATGTTCACACTTGGCAGAGCTTTTTATTAGGTGAATGCCTTGATGGAGTTCGAAGATGAGAATTTTCTGCTTAGGATAAGCAGAGATAAGCAATTTGATTGGTTGATGCTTTTGGGCATGATAACTTTAGTTATAATGAAGGGAGATTGATGAAACTTGGTGTATAGATTCATTACATCATTACCTTGACTAAGTTCGATGATGAGAATTTTCTGCTTAGGCAAAGTAGCCATAAGCAATTTGATTGGTCAAGACTTTGGAACATAACAACTTTGCTTTTAATTGAGGTAGAATATTTAAACTTGATGTAGATGTTCATTAGGTGAATGTCTAGACTGAGTTCAATGATTAACATTTCGAGCTAAAGCTAAGCAAAGCTAAGCAATTTCATTGGTCGATGCTTTAGGACATGATAACTTATTTGATTCTATCTGATAGAGAGTGATGAAACTTAGTGTATAGTTGATAATCTGTTTGATTGCTTGATACTGTTGAAAAAAATAAATTTGCGATAAATTAATATGTGTTACATGTATCTATTTATTTTGGGATTTTGGCGGGGGACATCACCCTCACTGTTGCCTTGTGAAAAATAATGATACAACAATAAAATTTGTATTTCAAATTTTTCAGACAAGGATACCACCTGAAATTCGACTTACATTACGACCCCAGTTAAGTATGAGCAGTGATCTTGATAATCATACGCAAGTAGATTTGTACCTGAAATGTTCTACATTATATCCAGATCAGTATGTTGTAAATTTATAAACTTATAATAATAGTTTCTTTCTGAGTTGAAAAAAAAAATAGAAAATTGATCACACTAGCTTTATTGATAATTTTTATGTGGACGTATATTGTCATCTCCCCTCTCCATCCGGTCGTCCGTCCATCCATTCACATTTTGTTTGTGGACACTGTACCAGTCACAATTTTTATCCGATATTGGCATGTATTAGACCGTAACTGCATGGATTGTACGAAAAATCATGCTGTTGGCTTGTGAACAATCTACAGGTCACAAATTTTTATCTGATTTTGATGAAACTTAAAATGTATGTTTATATTCCAAAGATCTTGGTTCCTTTAGACATTCGCACATATCGAACTGTAACTTCCTGGATTATGGCCCTTGATTGTACGAAAAATCACTTTTTTATACACCTACATTTTCATGTGGACGTATATTGTCGTCGCCCCTGTCTGTCACAATTGTTTGTGGACACTCTACAGTAAGGCTGTGCAAAAATATCGATATAATCGATAATCGGTAGAAGTTATTTAGCGATACGATAATCGATATTGAAATTCAAATATCGATTATCGGTATATTTACCTTCTGACGGCAAGTTACGGTCACTTTCACATGACTGAACTTGCCGTAGTCTGGCATGCAGACGAATGAACGAATACACAACGTCAACACAACAACTATTTTCCCCCTCTGCTTACAAACTGGCACATTTTAAATATATATTATTGTAAAAAAACTAAACTTTAAGATTAAATACATTATTTTAATATTTTCGTTGTTTTTGTTGTTATTACTAGTTGAAACTAAAATAGGTCACGCACGTGATATAGTAAAATTAGAATTATCTCCCTTCTTTGCTCTTGATTGATTTGTAGAGAAATTGTCTGCTTTCACGATAAAACTAATTGTATTATTAATGATCAACTCAGCTTTTATTACTAAATCATGTCAGATACAGCCCATACAAAACACGTTTTTGACTTCCCGGGAAAATATCTAAGAATTCTACTTTGGTTTTCGTCAAAGTTAACCAATCATAAAAATTCTACTTTGAAAGCCGGTAATTATTTTTTTATTGTCCAATCAATAGACGCCTTCTATTATATTTTTTTCTATTATTAGTAACACTGTGTGATCGCCAGTAACTTGCAAAGAGAAACCATGTATTGTCTTTGTATTTATAGGAGATATTGGAATAAAAAAAAGGTTCAAATGAATCAAGAACAAAACTTAGAATAATACTCAAGTTAATCCTACATTTAGCAACTAATTATTTTACATTAATTGATTTTTTTACGTACATCGGCACAGTATTAGACTAGGATAATAACACTACTGTAACTCGATCAACACAAATAACAGGTCGGTAAAGTTCGGTTTTTCCGGAAGAATGATAATCGATTATTATCGATAATCGCTGACAAATTCTTGCCGATAATCGATATTGAAATTTCATATCGATTCCCAGCCTTACTCTACAGGTCACAATTCTTATCCAATTTTTATACACCCACATTGAAATGTGGTCGTATATTGTCGTCGGTCCGGCGTCCACAATTGCTCGTGGACGCTCTAGAGGCTGAAGTTAATATCCGATTGACTTTTAATTTATATGCAGTGTTTTTGTGTTCATGAGATGAAGAAGCCTATTGATTTTCAGCGATTTCTGATAATTACTGCCAGAGTTATAGGCCTTGATCACTTAAAAAAATCTTGTGGACGCTCTACAGGCCAAGGTTAATATCCGATTGACTTTAAATATATACACAGTGTTTAAGGTCATGAGATGAAGAAGTCTATTTATTTTCAGCGATTTTCAATAATTACTGCCAGAGTTATGACCCTTGATCACTTCAAAAAATCTTGTAAATGCTCTAGAGGCTAAAGTTAATATACGATTGACTTCAAATTTATACACAGTGTTTAAGGTCATGAGACGAAGAATCATATTGATTTTCAACGATTTCCGATAATTACTGTCAAAGTTATGGCCCTTGATCACTTTGAAAAATCTTGTGAAGCTCTGGAGGCTAAAGTTATCATCCGATTGACTTCAGATTGATACACAGAGTTTAAGATCTTGAGACGAACAAGTATATTGATTTTCAATTAATTTTTACGACTTGAACAGCTAAATCCATGATATTAAAAGTTTTGTATACTAAACGTTAGCATGGGGCAGAACTTTATAAAAACAAATACTAATGGTTTTCTGATAATTACTTCATGAGTTGTTACTCTTAATCAGATTTTAATGTATTATAAATGTTTCATTACCGAAAGAAGTAAAAATATGCGACAAAACTTTTTGACTGCCCGGACGATTTAGCTGCTGTTGGCGTATGTTTTGTTGCCTGGCAACATGCACGTAAAAGATCCCTTGGCAGCGCCGCTGCCCAGGCAAAATTTCCCTAGTAGCACACTGTATGGCTTATGCCCGTCTTCATTAGGCCAGGTTAGAAGCAGAACAGTAGGACGTTAAACCCCATTTCATTTCATTTCATTTATAGAGGTCACAATTTTAAACCGATTTTGATGAAACTTGAAATGCATGTTTATAACCCAAAGATCTTGGTTCATTTCGATATTTGCGCATATCGGATCATAACTTCCTGAATTATGGTCCCTGATTGTATGAATAATCGCCTTTTTTAGCTTGTGGTCCCTCTGGAGGACACAATTATTATCCAATTTAAAAAAAACTTTTTGATTGTATCACCGTTACACTGTAAGGAAGGATGAGTTCGAATTTCGTGAAAATTGGACCAAAATTGCCGCCACTTGTACGCAAATAGTGTAAAATATGGTATTTATCAAGGTTGTGGACCCTCTTGGTTCCTTTCGATATATTCACACATTTCCAATTGTAACTTTCTGAATTATGGCCCCTGATTTTACGAAAAAGCAGGCTTTTAGCTTGTGGTCCCTCTAGAGGTCACAATTTTAATCTGATTTGAAAAAAACATTTTAGTATATCACTGTTACACCCTAATGATGGTTGAGTTTGAATTTCGTGAAAATCGGACCAAAACTGTCAGACAAAATGGCCGCCCCATGTATGCAAATAGTGTAAACATCTGGTATATCAAGGTTGTGGACCTCCTAGAGGTCACAATTTTGATCTTATTTTGCTGAAACTTGAAATGCATGTTTATAACCAAAAGATCTTGGTTCCTTTCGATATTCGCGCATATCAGATTGTAACTTCCAGAATTATGGCCCTTGATTGTACGAAAAATCGCGTTTTGAGCGTGTGGTCCATATAGAGGTCACAATTTTTATCTGATTTAAAAAAAAAACGTGTGAATATATTACAGTTATACACTAATGATGGTTGAGTTCAAATTTCATGAAAATCAGACAAAAATTGACGGACATAATGGCCGCCCCTTGTACGCAAATAGTGTAACCAGCGGCTGCCAGGCAGGATACGGCCACATTTTGCAAGAGATGGATAGAGAACAAGCTAAAAACAAACAGGATTTTTTGGACAATTAGGGGAAATAATCCAGAAGTTATGGTCTGAAATCAAGGGCCATAATTCAGGAAGTTACGATCCGGTATGCCCGGATATCAAAAGGAAACAAGATCTTTGGGTTTTAAACTTAAATTTCAAGTTTCATCAAAATCAGAAGAAAATTGTGACCTCTACTAGAGGGTCCACAACATTGATATACCATATTTTTACGCTAATTGTGTACGAGGGGCGGCCATTTTGTCCGGCCGTTTTGGTCCAATTTTCACGAAATTCAAACTCAACCAAAATTACGTTGTATCACTGATATATTTGAACGATTTTTTAAATCGGATAATAATTGTGACATCTAGAAGGACCTCAAGCTGAAAACGCGATTTTTCGTACAATCAGGGGCCATAATTCAGGTCCACAACATTGATATACCATATTTTTACGCTATTTGAACCAAGATCTTTATGATAAAAACATATATTTAAAGTTTCATCCAAATCGGATAAAAACTGTGACCTCTAGAGGGCAAACAATCTTGATATACCATATTTTTACACTATTTGCATACAAGGGGCGGCATCAGTTTAATGTTTTAGTCTGATTTTCACGAAAATTGAACTCAACCATCATTAGTGTATAACTGTGATATATTCTCATGTTTTTTTGTTAATCGGGTAAAAATTGTGACCTCTGTAAGGAACAACAGGCTCAAAACGCGATTTTTCATTTAATCAAGGACCATAATTCAGGAAGTTACAATTCAATATGCGCGAATATCGAAAGGAACCCAAGATCTTTGGGTTATAAACATGCATTTCAAGTTTTTTTTTATCAAAATCGGATCAAAATATTGTGACCTCTAGGAGGTCCACAATCTTGATATATAATACCAGATGTTTACACTATTTGGGTAAAAGGGACGGCCATTTTGTCTGACAGTTTTGGTCCGATTTTCGACCATCATTAGGGTGTAACGGTGATATACTAAAACGTTTTTTTTAAATCGGATAAAAATTGTGACCTCTAGAGGGACCACAAGCTAAAAGTGCATTTTTTTTTACAATCATTGGCCATTATTCAGGAAGGTAAGATCTGTGGGACATAAACATGCATTCCAAGTTTCATCAAAATCGGATGAAAATTGTGTCCTCTAGAGGGTCCACAACCTTGATATACCATATTTTTACACTATTTGCTTACAAGGGGCAGTTTTGGTCTGATTTTCACGAAATTCGAACTCAACCATAACTAGTGTGTAACGGTGATATATTAAAACTTTTTTTAAATCGGATAAAAATTGTGACCTCTAGAGGGGCCACAAACTAAAAAACGTGATTTTTCGAATAATCAGGGGTCATAATTCAGGAAGTTACGATCCGATATGCGCGAATAGCGAAAGGAACCAAGATCTTTGGGTTATAAACATGCATTTCGAGTTTCATCAAAATTGGATCAAAATTGTGACCTCTAGAGTGTTCACAAGCTAAAAACGTTATTTTTCGTACAATCAGGGGCCATAATCCATGAAGTTATGGTCCGATACATGCCAATATCGAAAGGAACCTAAATCTTTGGGAGATAGACCTATATTTCAAGTTGTGTCAAAATCGGATAAAAATTGTGACCTGTAGAGTGTCCACAAACATATTGTGGACGGGTAGATGGACGGACAGACATCCACATATTTGTCCTCATGAAAATGTGGGCGTATAAAAATTGTGATCTCTAGAGGATCCACAAGTTGAAAACGCAATTTTTCGTACAATCAGGGATCATAATCCAGGATGTTACCGTCCGATATGCGACAATATCGACAGGAACCGAGTTCATTGGGTTATAAACATACATTTTAAGTTTCATCAAAATCGGAAAATAATTGTGACAAGCAGAGCCATGCCCATTTTCTTTTTGTGTGTCTATGTGTTGCCTACTCGCCACGATTCCTAATAGATCGTCTTGGAACTTGGCGTATGTATTCCTTATAGCCTAAGGATGACAACTGCAAGTCCCAACCCCAAAGGGCAGAGCCACGCCCAACTTTTGTGTTTATCGTATACAGTCTGGAATTCTAAATGGATCATCTTGGAACTATGCATATTTATTCCGTATACTGTAAGGATAACAGCTATTTATTTTGGTGCATCCAGACCCCCAGAGGTGTGGTACCTCACCTACTTTTTTGTTAATTTGTATCTGTAAATACTCTACAGGTTGCAATAATTAACAAATTTTGTTCAAATAGGGTGGTACCTATTAATATTGTTCCATATCCAACCCCCAGGGGCAGAGCCACACCTAATTTTTTGTATTCATCGTCTACGGGCTGCAATTCTGAATAGATTATCTTAAAACTTTGCATATTTATTTCTGATACCGTAAAGACAGCAACTATTTATTTTATGTTAATATTTTGTCTGCAAATTTGCAATTTAGCCTTCTTTGCCTCTTGTCTCATTACAGCCATTTCATATTTCATTCTCTTCATTTTAAAAAGTACCATATCATTCAAAGCAGGAATGTGGATGTATATTGCAGCGTTAGTGATGCTCTTGTTGATATGGTGGGGGGGGGATGTCCGAATGGTGTGCATGTGTGTGCGGTATCATCAGAATTTTGCGACGTAGTTTCCCCTTGTCAGTGGTGCAGGATGGAGGGCCTGACACGGATAGCTGTCTAGTTGTTCGGATGGCACGAAAAACCGAGGTCTTGTGTATACCTTGGCATGCACGTAAAAGATCCCTTGGCAGTTAGAATTTGATATAAGAGTAGGCCATAGTGCCGCTGCCTGGGCAAAATTTTCCTCATAGCACACTGTATGGTGTATGCCTGTCTTCATTAGCCCAGTATCTATAACAATCTCTTACAAACCCCATAATTTCAAGAATATAAACTGACTAGAAGGAATAAAATCAGATCACAAAAATCTAGTCATATAACAGTAGTTTAAAAAATTGCGAAAGGGTACCCCGATTCAAATGATCATATCCCTGTCAATATTTATGCTAGAGTCATATAAATTTGCAGTTTTACCAATGACTATATGTACTAACTACTATAACATATATTTTTATACGCCCACAATTTCATGTGGACGTATTATGCCGTCGCCCCTGTCCGTCTGGACGTCCGTCCGTCCACAATTTGTTTGTGGACACTCTACAGGTCACAATTCTTATCCGATTTTGACGAAACTTGAAATATAGGTTTATCTCCAAAAGATCTCGGCTGCTTTCGATATTGGTATGTATCGGATCGAAACTTCATGGATTATGGCCCCTGTTTGTACGAAAAATCACGTTTTTAGCTTGTGGACCCTATAGAGGTCACAATTTTTATCCGATTTTGTTGAAACTTGAAATGAAAGTTTATAACCCAAAGATCTCGGTTCCTTTTGATATTCGCGCATATCGGACCGTAACTTCCTGAATTATGGCCCCTGATTGTACGAAAAATCACGTTTTTAGCTTGTGGACCCTATAGAGGTAATAATTTTTATCCGATTTAAAAAACTATATTATTATATCACCGTTACACCCTAAGGACGACTGAGTTCGAATTTCGTGAAAATCGGCCCAAAATTGACAGACAAAATGGCCGCCGTTCGTTCTCAAATAGCGTAAGAATATGGTATATCAAGGTTGTGGACCCTATAGAGGTCACAATTTTTATCCGATTTTGTTGAAACTTGAAATGTAAGTTTATAACCCAAAGATCTCGGTTCCTTTCAATATTCGCGCATATCGGACCTTAACTTTCTGAATTATGGCCCCTGATTGTACGAAAAATCGCGTTTTTAACTTGTGGACCCAATAGAGGTCATAATTTTTATCCGATTTAAAAAAACGTATAATTATATCACCGTTACACCCTAAGGACGACTTAGTTCGAATATCGTGAAAATCGGCCCAATATTGACAGACAAAATGGCTGCCGTTCGTTCTCAAATAGCGTAAAAATATGGTATATCAAGGTTGTGGACCCTATAGAGGTCACAATTTTTATCCGATTTTGTTGAAACTTGATATGTAAGTTTATAACACAAAGATCTCGGTTCCTTTCAATATTCGCGCATATCGGACCGTAACTTACTGAATTATGGCCCCTGATTGTACAAAAAATCACATTTTTAGCTTGTGGACCCTATAGAGGTCATAATTTTTATCTGATTTAAAAAAACGTATTATTATATCACCCTTACACCCTAAGGATAACTGAGTTCGAATTTTGTGAAAATCGCCCCAAAATTGACAGACAAAATGGCTGCCGTTCGTTCTCAAATAGCGTAAAAATATGGTATATCAAGGTTGTGGACCCTATAGAAGTCACAATTTTTATCCGATTTTGTTGAAACTTGAAATGTAAGTTTATAACCCAAAGATCTCGGTTCCTATCGATATTCGCGCGTATCGGACCGTAACTTCCTGAATTATGGCCCCTGATTGTATGAAAAATCGCGTTTTTAGCTTGTGGACCCTATAGAGGTCATAATTTTTATCCAATTTAAAAAAACGTATTATTATATCACCGTTACACCCAAAGGACGGCTGAGTTCAAATTTCGTGAAAATCGGCCCAAAATTAACAGACAAAATGGCTGCCGTTCGTTCTCAAATAGCGTAAAAATATGGTATATCAAGGTTGTGGACCCTATAGAGGTCACAATTTTTATCCGATTTTGGTGAAACTTGAAATGTAAGTTTATAACCCAAAGATCTCGGTTGCTTTCGATATTCGCGCATATCGGACCGTAACTTGTAGGAAAAATCACTTTCTTGTTAGCTTGTTCTCTATCCATCTCTCGAAAATGTGGGCGTATCCTGAATGGCAGCCGCTGGTTTTCATAACTATCTGAGGGGGTCAATTTACAAGCACTGGTCCAGTTGACATAGAATGTCCCAACTACATTTTGATAAGATTAATTCTTGTTAAATAAATATTGAAAAATCAAAAGAGTTTAGAAATATATAAGGCTGACCTTACAAATATCTTTGTTTCGCCTAACGCGACCGACTAACTAAAACCACCCCTGACTTAAATTATTTTATTGCACTTTTCCACGATCTTTTTATTTTATTTTGTGTGTCAACCTGAAATATATCATGAGAGTTATTTCCCTATACTATGGCTATGGTTTGATTCATTATTGAAACTGGTTGATCAAGACGAAAGCGTCATAGGTGTCGCTTCTCAACAAAATGAAAGCACAACGCACACTATCGTTAAAAACGTGTTGAAGGAGTTTCACACTTCAAGTTCGTGGCTAATCGTGTGCGAGTCGGGCATCCCGAAAAATCCCGATGTCATTGATTTGTTTGCCAATAAAGAAGACGAATGTTTCCACCCGGAAAATTATTAAGCTGTCAAATTAGCTCTTAAGTTTAATAAAAACTTTCAGTTCGTTACTTTTTACGTCAGACCCCAAATTCATTAAACAAAATTAATGAATCTGTAGTATACAGCTAATAAGTTTTCTGTATTGATTTCTCTGACTTTAAAAAAAAATCTGAAAAAAAAAACGACCTACCGACCCTTCTCCTCGATTGTGGGTCGGGTTTGGTGAAACAAAGATATTTTTAAGGTCAGCCTAATGGGCTGATTTTATAATGTAGATTATCTTTTTTTGCAGGATTCCTGAATTTAGGTTAGAAAATCCTAAAGGAATCACAAATTATGAGTTATCTGTCTTGAAAGATGAATTAGAAAACCAGGTTGTTACATTGGTTGGAGAAGTAAGATTTTTTGTAATCTACATATTTATACACCCATATTTTCATGTGAACGTATATTATCATCACCCCTACCCGTTTGTATGCCTTTTGTTTGTGGACACTCTACAGGTCACAATTTTTATATGCCGACATTTTCATGTGCACGTATATTGTCGTCGCCCCTGTCCGTCCACAATTTGTTTGTGGACACTCTACAGGTCACAATTTTTATCCCATTTTGACGAAACTTAAAATATAGGTTTATTTCCCAAAGATCTTGGTTCCTTTCGATATTGGCATGTATCGGACCATAACTTCATGGATTATGGCCCCTGATTGTACGAAAAATGACGTTTTTAGCTTGTGGACACTCCAGAGGTCACAATTTTGATCTGATTTTGATGAAACTTGAAATGTATGTTTATAACCCAAAGATCTTGTTTCACGCATATCGGTTTGTAACTTTCTGAGGGGGGCACTGTGGCTAAGTGGATAAGAAACTGACTTGGAGGTCGGGTGTTCGATCCCTGCATTGCCGAGAAAGTTCATCCAGACTTTCTGTCGTGGTTGTTCCCCCTTGTCAGTGATGCAGGATGGAGGGCGTGACAAGTACAGCTGTCTAGTCATTCGGATGGGACGGAAAAACGAGGTCCCGTGTACACATTGGATTGCATGTAAAAGATCCCTTGACAGCAGGGCTCGAACTAGCGGGCGACGTGGGCAAAATAGTCGCCTAACCCATAGATGACTTCGCCCTAAAGAGCAATAGGGTGAAATTGAAGTCGCCCTCACTTCGCCTTGCATTTGTACAAGGGCAAAGTAGTAACAGGGATCAAAATCAACGGTAAACAAAGCATTTCCAAAACAACACAACACGTGTTCACATTATGAGCTTCGAAGGGAAATATGAAAATTAGATAAAGTTGTATAAAACAAAATGTGTATTAAAGATACATTATGGGAGATTTTTATAAGGAGTTAGCCATTCTTGCTATAACAGTTCAAAAATAGAAGATGGAAAGAATATATTGAAAATTTCAGTCAAATTACTTTATTCTGAACATAGTTATCACCAGTGTAATTTTTGACTAGAAATGGGATTGAATTCCATCTTCACTGATTCTTAGTATGACCGATCGTTTGATTGACAGGCTTTAACTCCACCTACATAATCACTGCTGTCTTTTGTCTGCTGTCATCATATCCGAATTTGTGTTTTACCTTTTTGGATTTTTATAACAATTGGACAAAATGAGTGAGAGGGTAAATTTTCATTCTTACTTGTATTTTGGGCATGCATTAAATCATTTGAATATAGGACATAATATTATAATACAATTATGATAAATCTATAGGTATACACCAGTGGCGTTGTGCCTATTGGGGAAATAAAAATATTTTTATTGATATTATTAAGACAGAAGACCTGTCCGTCTGTATTAGTCATCACAAACACGGTCTCCAGGAATTGTATAATTTGTCATTATCTGTGTTTAGTTTATTGCACTTTAAATAGTTTAGATGTCATTTGTTAAGGCATCGCTCAACAGCGGCCTCGCTTCGTCGTCAACATAACAGTTAATCTCGGCTCACGACGCCATTTAAAATTAAATCAGTCAACGAAATCCTGTTTAAATCCAAGCCATCTGTGGGTCTACAGAGTTGATTTTGTGCTTGTTGTGTAAATAAAGATCTAATTTATAATTTCTATGACATCTGAAGCCTAAATAAAGACTTGCAATAATCAGATTTAGCTCTTGCATAATGTATGTTTAATATTTCGTTTTTCGACATTTTCTGGTTTGGCTGTGACAATGTTTTATACTTTCAGAGATAAAAATTTGATTTGATACCTATAGAAAATACAATTCTTTTAAATAATGCGAAAGAATCAAATCATAAATCTCCGTTATAGTCTCTGGCTTCGTCCAGAAATAATAGGCAATCAAAAGCTATGATGGCCAATATGGCGGCAGATACGATATTTTTCATGTATTTCTGTCTAAGTATAGACAAAATACTGAATTGATTCTCTTTCTTTGAAAAAATTTCATAATAATAAGAACTAGAACTGCAAAGCAGGGTGCCATGTTACCCTTGAACTTATGTCACTTTCGGTGCCACATTACCCTTGAACTCATATCACTTCAAGTACCAATAGAACCGATAAACAGATGTCCACACAAACATTGCAGACGTGTTATAAAATGGACGCAGAATCAATCAAACCCAACAATATCAATTTCATTCATACATTTGATAGCATGTGTTACATGTGTCAAAAAAGTGATCCTGACAAAATTTGTTACTAACTTACTGCTAAGTTAATTAATTAATTGTTAGCATGTGTTACATGTGTCAAAAAAGTGATCCTGCTAAGTTAATTAATTAGAATGCAAAAAAAATCTTAAAAAGTGATCCTGACAAAATTAGTTATTTCTGGACAAGCTATTTTTGGACATCTATACAATCGTAATGATTCAATCTATATGTCCATTGGAGTCAAATATCAAAATGTTAAAACGAATAATAAATATAACTCACTTCAAAAAATGTTTGTTTTGGGGGCTAAAAATACACTTTATGCCAAAATGATATTACTTCCAGGGATAATGAAAATGTTAAATTAGTTAAATGAAATCATAAATGGCATAATGCATCACATGGTGAACATTTTATGAAAATCGAATAATAATTGTTGCTTGTCGGTCAATATTACATTCGCGTGATTTCCTTCTCTTTGTACGCCGTCGAGAGCCATTGAGAATTTAACGACATCATACAACTCATTTACAGCATAGAGGACTTGTTAATGGCATCATGGCGGGAAAAAAAGTGGAAAATATGGAATTTGGTAAGGAAAATGGGATTTGTCAATTAGTTACGTAAATTTGAATCGCATGTGTCAAGTTACGAACAACATATAAATACTTAAAACAATATGAATGTTCCTTTTCTTTATTTACATAATTATAGAATACTTTTATTCAAACTTTTTGTCCGCAAAACAAATGGTTGCCCTCGCCGATCTCGGGAACAAACCGGGATTGGATTGGTTGGTAACTTGACACGGTTAAGCTTTCAGTTGAATGTCAAAATTACTAACAACCCCTGTCTGGCACACTTATTTAATTATTTGGTAGATCTTTACAAAAAAACTTATCTTTTGAAATAGTTCATGGTTCTATGCATGCTGTCATCCTTACCTATACCTGTTCAAGGCTGTTGATGACAATATAAGTGTTGGTAACAATGACCAAACAACTGTGTTACCAACACAGTTATGTTTCTTGTTGTTTAGATTTTATGCAATAATGGATGTACTTATTTAATCTGCATGTACTCAACACGTTGTATATTGAATTCCAAAATAGTGTAGAATTAACCTTGTGTTTAAATTTCTTTCTAGGTTGTTGATTGGCCATATGTATGTCAAGTACTTCAAACCAGCAGGGAATTTTTGGTTGGAAAATGAACTGTTATTGAATCTGTAATAGGAATAGCAGTCGAAAATTGGTTTGATTCTGTTCACAACATGAAAATGCTGCTCCCTATGTAAACAAGCCTTCTGTCATCTTTGTTTCGCAACATCTGATGACTTGGTCTGATTTTAATCTGACTGAATCTATGCAGAGAAATTATCTAGTGCTGATGTTTTGATTTCTTAGTTAAGTATTAAGTCAGTCAATGTTGAGTACCAGCATTGGTTACGAAGAAGAAGAAATTTTCTGATTAATGCAAATCCCATGTCATTTCTTGAATTAAATCACTATTGATGCTTTATCCGTCCAATTTAATTAAATCAGTATTGATGCTTTATCCGTCCAATTTTATTTAATTAAATCAGTATTGATGCTTTATCCGTCCAATTTAATTAAATCAGTATAGATTCTTTATCCGTCTAATTGAATTAAATCAGTATTGATGCTTTATCCGTCCAATTATTTTACCATTATTGTTATGTCATTTACATTAAACCCCATTTTATTTCTTATGTCATTTTTATTTTTAAACTGATCACTGGTTACATGTTGAATAATAAATGAAATATTAAATCATATTTTCAAAGTCCTAACTTATTTAATGATGGTTTTTGAGAGACCGTGGACTTTAGCGGTCACTCGACTCTAGGTTATTTCAATGATTGGCTTGTGCATAGGGCTTTAGCAGTGGGGGTAAATGATAGTCCTTGGCAAAACCCACAAAGTTAGACAGGTGACCCTTGTGCTTGTCACAAACATGACTATCATCCACATTATCATTTGTATTTGAAAGTGATAGCTCCTTGGGATAGTTAAAGCAATTTTTTTATCTTTGATTACTTAACAATATCACGATTCCAAGGGAATTTGATGTGGTCAATGTTACCAACTCTTTTTACCCAGGATATGTAATATATTTTTTTTTATTAGATGGTACAATCAACAGGTCAAAAACTGTACAAGGCAAATGCTAATCGCTTCCAAACACTAAACAAACACAAACTGTTTATCACTAAAAGTAAAAGTTAATGGAGAATCATTAGAAAATGTATCTGAAGCAGTGTTATTAGGACTTACTGTTGACCAAAATTTAGATTTTGAATCTCCAAATTAACAAAATTTCCCAAATCATATCCTCCAAAATCTACCTCCTGACAAAGTTAAAACCTTATTTACCACACCATCTTAGAATTTTATTTTTCAACGGCTTTATTTTACCGTACTTAGATTACTGTTCCACAGTTTGGGGTAATGCCAATTACGGTAAACTACATGTAGAGGTCCTGTATAAACTTCAAAAGCGTGCAGCAAGGAGCATTTTGGATGAAAAACCTGATTCACATTAGGCACCTTTGTTTGAGTCTCTAAATTGGCTTACAATCTACCAACGCATTCAATATAACCAAGGAATGCTCACCTTCAAAATTCTAAGAGACAAATTACCACCATATTTATATAACACATTCTGTGAAAATTCTAAATTGACCGAAAATACCATGACATTGAGATCAGAAAGTCAACTTAAATTAGCAATTCCAAAAAGTAAGAAAAAGGCAATGACAAGAACATTTCAATATACCGCCTCTGTATTCTGGAATTCACTACCTCAAACTGTGAAACACGCGTCTTCAAGTTTTATCTTCAGAAAGGAGTTAGTAAAACACGTCAAATCTTTGAACCCTTTCTTTTCTTTAATTTATTGTTTGTTTGTTTGATATATCTTTATTATAAGCTTATATAATATGATATATATGCACTTTGTAAATATTATTACTGTGTAGTTGCTAGTTTTATAGAGTAGGAGGGACATGTTGAAAATTAGAACTCGTACTAAATATGTTCCCTCATTAAATATTATGTACAATATTAGGAATTAATTTCCAAAGGAATTTGATGTGGTCAATGTTACCAACTCTTTTTACCCAGGATATCTAATTTTTAAAATTATTAGATGGTACAATCAACAGGTCAAAAACTGTACAACGCAAATAGATGTACAATATTAGGAATTGATTTCAAATTTTTTTTATGAGTATTGTTTTATAGAACTTTAACGTGTGTTTTTGGTCATTGTTACTGCAGACTCATTTTGAGAGATGTTGTAAAATAAATTACATCTTTTTACATTTTGATACCACCAAATGATAGATACTTTAGTCTTGAGTACTCCGTTGCCTTTGACTATGATTTATTTTTCTTAACCAGAAGAAAAAGAGGACAATATTTTGTCAATGTTACACGCATTCATTTTAGTATTTCGGCGTGTTTACAGAAAATTGTAAAGTTTTTATATTTTTACCACATTGGTACATCAGGAAACATTCAAAACAAACAATGCGTTATTTACTCTCCAAATATATTTTGAAATTTTAATGCCCATGTCACACTTTAGGTGTCAACTTCATGGAATGACCCATATTCAAAAAGTTCTAGAGCAGCCTCAGCTCAAGTATGCTGAATTTCATTCGGTGAGATGGCTAAGTTTAGCTAGTGCTGTATCAGTAATATACAGGACATACCCAGCACTTGTCATGGTCATGCAAGATGAAGCAGAGATTCATCCAGTAGCAAAAGGTATTTTATTAGAAATAACACAATACAAATTTGTAGCTATAATACATTTGCTCATGGATGTTTTGCCATTTATAAGCAGACTTTCAAAAATATTTCAGACTGCGAACATTGATTTTAGCAAGATAAAACCAACAGTGGATAGTGTGTGTGAATCTCTGTTGGATTTGCTGGATGATTTTATGGTCGAAAAAGATAGCAATTTCACATACAAGCGCCATCTAAGGAGAGTGATATAACTGAAGTAAAAAAAAATATTAATGAGAACTTGGACGGATTTGATGGTTTTTCAAATGAAACCATCAATAGCAATGTTTTGGACATCAAAATTTATCATTTTAACAAGCAAAAAGATCTTATTCATAAAATTTCAAAAACATTTATTAATAACGTTGTTCAAAATTTAAAAAACAGATTTATTGACAGTGAACTGGTCCAGTGTTTACAAATACTGGTTCCAAACAATTTAATTTCAAACAGACAACAATTAGCAAAGTTTGGTGAAGAAGAAATAGAAAAACTAATTGAGAATTACAGTAGAAATTTTGCAATTAATAGAGATGACTGTATGTTAGAGTACAGACAATACAAAAGACTAGTAATTGGTAGCAATGCTCATTGTACTTTTAAATCCTGAATATTGTCAATAATTGACTCCCATTCTTTACTCTTCCCAAATTTAATCCATATTTTTAAAGCAGCACTTCTTATTCCAATTACTACTGTTGACTGTGAAAGGGGGTTCTCCACACAAAACAGGATCAAAAATTGTTACAGATCCTACCTAAGTAATGAAGTACTGAACAGCTAAAATCATGATATTAAAAGTAACGTATACTAAACGTTAGCATGGGGCTGAACTTTTTAAAAACCAAACAAATTCTAATGGTTTTCTGATTACTTCATGAGTTGTTACTCTTAATCAAATTTTGGTGTATTATAAATGTTTCATTACCGAAAAAAGTAAAAATGTGCGACAACACTTGTTGACTGCCTGGACAATTTAGCTGCTGTGGGCGTATGTTTCATTGCCTGGCAACCTATCTTTGTGAAAGTCTTAATTTCAATCAATATCAATATTTTCACTTCCGACTCATTTTGCCAGCACAGGTCACAAATAGTGTAACGTATTTAATACCAAGGTTGTGGACACTCTCAAGGTCACAATTTTTATCCGATTTTGATAAAACTTAAAATATATGTTTATATCTCAAAGGTCTGGTGGGTTCCTTTCAATATTTGGACATATCGGACCCTGACTTCCTGGATTATGGCCTCTGATTGTACGAAATGTTCAAAATGTAGGCATATTTTTTTTTAGGTTCTCATATTAGATATGGCTCAAACTGTTCAAAAATTTCTACATGCTCATAGCCGTCCTGCACCCAAGTCTTTTTATGAGGAAATGTTATCAAACAAACGTAGGCAAGAAGAAAAACTAGCACTAGAACAACAAAAAAGAAATGAAATGATAAAAAGAAAAGAAGACAAAGAGGTATGGATTTATATTACAGCTTTTTGTTCACTTTTAAGCTGTTCCATCAATCCTGTAATTAAAAATAGTAAAATACATTTTCATTGTAAAGATGACTACCACAGTAGAGCAAACTAGATATAGATATCAAGATACTACTCCACACAGCTGTCAGTTATCAAACTTGTCACTAATGCACATAAGTAGGGTAAACATTTTTTATGCCCACATTGAAGCTAATCAAATTTTAATCACTCGTGATCAGTTTGTAGTGTCTTGTGAATGCATCTCTTACCTACAAAAGAATAAATATGTGCCAACCTATGAGGAATGCTTGGATAACTTAGCTCCTGTGGATTTATGCTTTGATGCCTATACTAGCAACCAATCTTTAGCCCTTTGAACCAAGCGGCCGTTACATTGTGGTAACGTCCTGACAACAACTCTTGGTACCACAAACTCAGTAATCAAAGGGTTAAGAGTCTTCTCTATTCCTTAAAATATATCTAGGATGAATCTTTTAAGTGTTATAGCATGCACTAAAGTATTCTTCATTTTAGCGCCAACTTATCGAAGAAGAAATTGCAAAAAGACAAACTGCCTTGAAGTTAGAAATGAAAAGAAAGAAGGAAGAAGAGAAACAGGTTAGTTACATGCAGTTGAGGCCAGTGATTAATTGTCAGTTTCTCATGACCTGAGTTTGTGAAATATACTTGCTACATGCGGAAATTATTAATTATTGAGATGAAATTTATTTTTTATACGCCCACATTTTGATGTGGACGTATATTGTCGTCGCCCCTGTCCGTCTGTCCTTCCACAATTGTTTGTGAACAGTCTACAGGTCACAATTTTTATCCGATTTCAATGAAACTTGAAATATAGGTTTATCACCCTAAGATCTCGGTTCCTTTCGATATTGGCATGTATCAGACTGTAACTTCATGGATTATGGCCCCTGATTGTACGAAAAATCACGTTTTTAGCTTGTGAACACTGTAGAGGTCACAATTTTTATCCGATTTAGTTTAAACTTGAAATGTATGATTATAACCCAAAGATCTCGGTTCCTTTCGATATTCGCGCATATCAGAACATAACTTCCTGAATTATGGCCCCTGATTGTACGAAAAATCGCGATTTTAGCTTGTGGAGCCCATAGAGGTCATAATTTTTATCCGATTTAAAAAAACGTATTTATTTATTATATCACCGTTAGACCCTAAAGACGACTGAGTTCGAATTTCATGAAAATCGGCCCAAAACTGACAGACAAAATGGACGCCGTTCGTTCTGAAATAGCGTAAAAATATGGTATATCAAGGTTGTGGACCCTATAGAGGTCACAATATTTATCCGATTTTGTTGAAACTTGAAATGTTAGTTTATAACCCAAAGATCTTGGTTCCTTTCGATATTCGCACATATCGGACCTTAACTTCCTGAATTATGGCCCCTGATTGTACGAAAAATCACTTTCTTTTTAGCTTTTCTCTATCCATTTCTCGAAAATGTGGGCGTATCCTGCCTGGCAGCCGCTGGTTTTAGTTTAATGCTGTTTCTATTTCAGTAATAACTAATGTCAGTTACTTGGCCGTTGAAAACCCAACGGTAACCAGTGTCCACGATTTATTCACATTTATTAAATATTTATAGATTAAAATATCTGTTGCACAATAGAGCTGGGCATCGGAAGACATGATCATAATAAATAAGTTTAAATTATTAGTGATGTACTTCTAAGTTAACGGTTCGTTAATTCATTCATTCTTGTCATTTCATTTCTTTATCCTTCCCTACTTTGACAGGTTACGAAATGAAACGACCTGTTCCAAATTGGTTGATGATTTGTTTTGACATAAATAATTAAAAGCAACCCATGGATTTTTAAATACCAAATAAGTTAGATTATTTAACATGTCAGTCCAAAGAATTTACTACACACCTTGGTTGTCTCTCTAGCCGTGAAGGAAGATAGTACCAATGCCATGGCAACAGCCCGTATGTTAATTGTCTTCAACTTTGAACCCATCGGCTCATGGCATCATGATAATATAAATACTTTTATTATTTTGTCTGTCTTAATCAAACTGTTTACATTTATTTGTATTTTTGTGTCCTTTTGAGACTGTTTATATAGTGTTGTTAATAAAATACTGTGAAGCAGTGTCAACCAGTCGGTATCTCATGATCGAGGCTATCTCATGGCGGCAATTCTGGGACCGTTGCTAGTCACGTAAATAAAATAATTTAGCAGGAATTAAAAGACATTTATATCTTTCTGTGAAATTTATTACAAACGACAAGTGCCTTATAGAGTATTATGTGGTCTTTGGTGAATGTTGTAGCTACCATTCTTTGGTATGGATGACAGATATGATCCGGCTTTATCACTTCCTGTTTTACGGATGGACTCCGTGTATTTTTTCACATCCTAGCCTACGCCAGTTCTTAGTATAAGAAGAATTAAGGACGACTTTTTCTGATTAGAACTTTATTAGAATAATAACATAAACCAGAACGAGGCTGGGCATTATGGACAGCCAAGTATACAAAACTACTCTACTAGTACTGTTGATTATGGAGAGCAATAATCATCAAAATAGAACATAACATAGTGGCGCAATTCCTTCTACACCTTCTCTTGATTACATAAAAACACTAAAACAAAATAAAAATACAAATGTTCAAATTTCCATACTTTGGATAACTAAATAATATGGCGCAGTTCCTTCTCAGCATCTTGAGTATTTTAAAGCAATGTCAAATATGAAAAGATACATTAGTCTAAATTCCATTGTTCAGAGCGTAGCCAAGCGGGTGGGCGGCACAAGCGCGACTTTAGGAGGGAAATGTATCTCTTATGACAAATATTTTTTGGCGGTTCCGACACAAAATATCACAAGCAAAAGTTTGTCCAGGAGTTGAAGAGTGCGTGACGCTAGAATAGTCCATCAATTCGGCTGGTAAACGCTGTAAAGAAGAACACTGAATACAGCATGATGTAACCGAGTCTATTTCTTGCTGCGAATCTAGAGTGTAAAAATATCGATTGAACAGTTTCTGAAGCTCTGTTTTTGACGGATGTTTAAAACGCAATTGTATTGTTGTTAGCAAGCCTGGTAGAACATGGCGGAGAACAATAATCAGATTACGGGTTGGTGCAAATACAACTTGTTGGGGCACTACTAAGACACCGTTCCGGGCAGTGGTTGCGGATTGTAAATAACGTTTAACATCTTTGGCATTGGTAACTTTTTTTGAAGGACGCGTTCCCTGAGTGAGGTGGGAATATGTACGCTTGAGAAATTTACATTCTTGTTGAGATTTCTTCCAAGAAGCTAAACTGAGAAATGGCATGGCTGCCAAACCATTTAAAATGTCGGAAACGGTAACTGCCATAACTGTGGACATTGAACTTTCCGATATAAAAGTGCATATTTGACAATTGTGATTATCGCATTCCATTGGATTCCGAGAAAGATAGTCACTTGGTATATTTAGATGTCCGGAAATATGTTGCAGGGATACCTTGTATCTACTAAGTGTGGAGAGAAACGACGATACCCTGGCACTTGATGAAAACTCGCCGCGAATGAGTTTCTCGTGAGCCTGAATACAGGGCCTGGAATCACTTAAAATTTGGGTCTGGTTAATCGAGTCCAATATATAAGGGAGAGAGAGAGAAATGGGGTCATTTCGGGACTAACATATGGTTTAATTTTATTTCAATAATTCGCTTGCATGTAGGGGTCTTTAGCAGTGGGAGGAGACCGGAGGACCCGGAGAAAACCCATGAGGTTGGACAGGCGACCCTACTCCTTGTCATGTAGAACCGGGGATTCGAAACCACGGCAGTCGACTCAATGACAGACTTTATGATACAGCGCGCGCATGCTAACCATTCAGCCATCCACCCCCCCCAATTTTTAAGGACTCCAATGGTTAACTGAAGAGCTAATAGCCAAAGCTTCTATTTCACATGGTAACCATTTTTGTTGATGAGTTTTAAGCTTCGCAGAAAAGAATCCACCAAGAAGCATTTTATTATCACGCCTTATGTAAAGCACAGATCCAATACCGGAATTGACCACAGCACCATCATGTGTTATGATTAAATAATCAGTTGGTCGAGGAATTGTGATGCTTTTCAGATCTCGTAATGCAGTTTGAGCTTGGTAAAATGAATCCATGAGAGGATCAGACCAAGTAACATGGGACTTTGATTCCTTGCTCGCGGCGGTGGTTTCTAACGGTGAAAGAATTTTTGAGTATTTGGGTATACACGCTTTTATATGTTTATAAGCATCGAGCCACAAATGAAGTCCTTTTACAGTCTTAGGGGGATCACAAATGGCCTAAGGATTAACCTTATGTGGAGAAACACTGATACTTCCTGAAGTCCATATCCAGCCCAAAATGGTCATAGAAACAGAACAGACGACCGTCTTACTAGCGGAAAGTCTTAAATTATTATGTAACATCGCCTGTAAAACGTTCTCCCAGTGTATCAGAAGATTTTGAATGCTGGAACCTCCGACATATAAATCATCAGCCAATTTGATTACAAATCCTTTATGAATAAAATCGCCCAATACTCTATACATAAGCTCGTCTAAAATTTCTGTAGAACCAGGCATGCCCATGGCAGCTCTGGTGTAGACGGATTCCTTTAAATGGGGTGACGACACCGAGATATTTCATTGAAGAATGCTGTCATATCAGTTTTAATTATGATGTATTTCCATTGTGCAAGAAAGCGAAGCACGCTTTCGGTGGAAGTCGATCGTGATGGAAGTGGTTTAGTATAACATGCAATGTTACTGAAAACGGTAAAAAGTCTGGTGCCACTTTCTGGTTTTCGTACTAAAAAGCTAGGAGAAACATATTCGACAGTGACGTTAACATCCTCGGGTTTAGCAAGCACCCCTAGACGTTCCAATTCATCCATTTTATTTTGCAATTCTTCCAGATTTTTCCTGTCGTACATGTGCTGATTCTTTTTAATGGATATAAGTTTGTCTGTCTCATTTGCAATGCAAATAAATCCATCGATTAATTTACTAATGTTAAGGATGGGCCACAAAGGGAACGGGGAGTCACATCTTGATTCAATACACATGTCAGAATCAGCATTGAAGCCTGTGGGAGTCGGCAATTCCAAATATTCACCAGGATGAACAACCTTAGATACATTAGCACGCAGTAAAAACGAATCAGTACGGCAAACAGCGGAAGAACTTGCGACTGCTTTGGAGAAATAATATTGTATTACTTGATTACCTATACGAATAGAGTCATTAGGAATATCTAAAACAATGTTATTTTGTTTCAAGAAGGGCATACCATTAAAATTTCCGCATCGATGTCTTGAACAACTAAAGAGTCCAATTTTAATTGCATGGCCCCGCGTGTCAAGAAGATATGAATCTCACCAATGATCGTTAATTTTGATTTACCATCGGCCTGGCTTGTTGTGTGTTTGGTTGGCAGTATTGGAACCGATAAGGTATTAGCAATTGAGAGTCTAATAAGGGATGATGTGGTCCCAGAATCACAAGTGATACTGACAGGATGATGGCTGTAAAATACATCAAAAGTAGGCGAGGCTGCCATGGTTACCCTGGCAACAATTGTATCCAAT